TTTTTTTCCTGTCAGCTTGATGGGCCGCGTCCTGTCTATTCTTTTGTTGATGGGCGCCGGCTAGGATCGTTATCCTTTGAGTGGGAATTCGTGGCTAGATCTGGGAAGGGCTTGTGTGTCATACTGTACTTTATATTTTATAGTATTGTTATATACATTTATTTAGATTTTTACGAATTTTTACAAGTTCATTTCTCACATTCAGCATTGTGACTGTGTGACATTTTGGGGGTGGAAAGAAGTAACTCTGCTTTCCTGTCAACGTAATTCAGTTTAGTATGCAGGATTTGTTATTCAGGCAGAACCTTTTTGCTGCCTGTGGTGTGATGGTTGGCTTTGCTTTGTGAGCTGGTATTGCCTCTTTGCAGGCTAGAGCTTGCAGGGTATCCATGATCATTTATGCAGAAAGCAGATGCCTGTTACTAGTTCTCACTTTGCTGTTTCAATGGTTGAAATGATAAATGTTTGGTGGAAAGTCCTGGGATGAGATTTTCCACTGAAGAAAAGAAGAGTAAGGTTTGCAGATATGGCTGTTCCAGATCTTGCCAGTCTGGCCAGTAAATGTTCGATGAACCACTAAATATAACTATGGCTTCCACATTGAGCACCCCAGGTGTATTATTTTTGATTCTCTAAAGGAATTTTTCTCTCTTTATAACTTTCTTAATTCTCTACCGAGACTTTCTTGTGCGTGTGGTTTCAAGGGATGGGGAAAGACACACATACCATATAATGATAGCAAGCTTATAGTGCAACTCTGATAACAGACATTCAGAGCAGTAGAAGTATTTAATCTTAATTCTTTGATGCATAATCACAAGTGAAAGTAAATCACCTCTTTGATAAAACCCTGTGAGGGCATGTTCATGAAGCAAAGCTTTACATTTCTATATAAACAACACTGAAAGTCATTATGAGGAAAAAAAGTCTTGTTAAATACCTTTTAGGTTGATAGTGATGTATTTAGGTAACAAGGTAGTTGCAGTGCTTGGGATACTTATGAATTTGAGAACCTTTCCATGTTTATTTCCATATAAAAGAAAATGCTTTGAAAGCCCTGTGAACAAAAGGCAAAACTTTGTCCAAGAACTAAAAATAAACTCTGTAATGCTGCCAGAATAAATATTGCTAAAGCATCACAAATTGATTTAATTTCAAAAATAAAGAAAAATATTGCCTTAACCACAATGGGCTTTCTTGTGTGTTTTTTCACTTTGGTCTCTCTTGTAGCAGTTACCCACAAAACATTACCATTGCATGTTGCCTCTTTGATGTACTCTCTTGGTTATGCTGAATATATTACTTTCACTGAGAATACATGATTGCATTGGTGTTTTCTTATGCCTTTGGAAGGCAGGAAAACTTAAATGAAGTCAATAACTGTGCACATGTGTGTTTCTCTTTTAGTGGAAGCGATAGTGGAGTTTGACTACAAAGCTCAACACGATGATGAGCTGACAATCACTGTAGGTGACATAATCACCAACATCAAGAAGGATGATGGAGGCTGGTGGGAAGGACAGCTCAAAGGCAGAAGAGGTTTGTTCCCTGACAACTTTGTAAGAGTGAGTACAAAGTGGAACTGTTCTTATGTGTGTATATAAGCTTTATGTACTCTGCCGTTTAGGCTAAATATCAGCCTTTATATCATAGTATCTCTTATATCCAAAACCATAATATATTGCATATACACATGTATTGTATATACTAATATATTGTATCTGTATAATGTATTACATATATAAAGTGCAATGTTCTATTGAGACAATGTTACAAAGAAAAGATTACTTTCTTTGCAAAGACAAGCTGAAAATAAAATAAGCTACCCCTACATTTCTCTGCTGTTCAGTGAAAATATTTGACTTTGCAGAACCAAGTGGTTATTCTAGAGCAACTTATAGGACATTGCATTTTAAATATTTTGTCTTCCCTGTAACAGATTCTGCTTTTCCAGAATGTTTTCTTAGTTTTTATAGAAGCTTTTTATGGTGAATATTTATTCCTAGCTAAACTAGTAGAGAATAATTAGATTTTTCCATACATTGCCTATAAAAACTTTTTAAAAAAACATTAATTTGTATTCACTTAATATACTAAATAACTTGTAATATACCAAATAATCCCTGTTTTAGGACAACCATTCAGAAGTTTAGAAAGAAATTATTTTTTTTTTACTGGGCATCTGTGTTTGCACACGTATGTCTGCACATACAAAGCCAGTTATTAGTACCTCTGGGCCTTCTTGATTTGTCATTGCAGACCTAGGCTGTTGATTTCTGTAAATCTCCATAAACCTGGCTTTCCACTATGGAAAAGAGACCAATAACTACAATAAATTACATAAATAGGTTTCGTGTTAATCTTTTAGTACAGCTTCCAAGAGGAGCTTTGGTACTTTCCCTTTCCTAAGGGTATAAATGTATTTTTTTTTTTTCCTTTTTTCTATTTTTTTTTTTTTTTTACTTCCTCTAACAGTGTAAGACTGTTGTGTGTTTAGACATATGGACATTGTGAAGTAATTTCATTTTGCTTCCATAGTGCTGCATATGCTGAGGCATTTGGGGGAAGTGGTCTGGTTGCGATTTAGCCAGCCCATAGCAGGGGGTGTGGGGGTGGACACCGGAGCCTCAGGTGTTTCTGTGGGAGTGAACATGCACCCTGATCCTTGCTCCTGTCACTGGCAACAAGAAAGAGCAGCTTTGTGTGTGTGAGGCAGCAAAAATCAGGAGCAAGCCAGGGCCTCAATGAAATGAAAGGATATGGTAGAGGACAATAGTCTGGTTTTTGCTAATCTCTGAAAATCCACACCTTGGGCGAGGGGAAAGAAATTGTTTTGGTATTCATTGTGTATTGGTAATTATTGGTAATAGTTTTTCTTCTTGAACTCTGTTGGGACTGAACTGTGGGACAAATGAATACTTCCTCGAGGCTTTTTCCTGGCTGACATTTTAAATCTGCTACTGATTTTAGGAGGTGTTTGATTTAGTGTTTTAAATAAGTGCAGCCTGTGAATGTCTGTTATGGGAATATACTAATCTAAAGATTTGCAAGTTGGCACCATTAGTACCTAATTTTAAGGCCTCTTCTTTCCAAAATTACTTCAAACTGTGGCATCCTGTCACATAATTGAAATATAAATAGCTTTTTTTCAATAGAAAGTTCTAACACAACGGTAAATGGTTTAGATTTTGTCTTCTCATGAAATACCACTCCCTGCTCTTTCCTTCCTGCCTATTTTTTTGTTTTGTTTTGTTTTTGTTTTTGTTTAAATTTATTTCTTCTTTTAATCAGCATCCAGGGCTGTTTTCTAAAGAACTAAAAACTACATTGTGCTCAAGCTGACAATAAGGAAGTATTTAAAGTCAAAGATGTTTTTTGTAGCCAAGCATTTTCTCTCTAAACTAGATAAGATGGAGTAGAAGATACACACTTACTTAAAGCAGAGTTAGCTTATGAATCTCTTAAGCAAAAACCCTTTTTTTTCTTGTTTTTCTTGTGTAAATGTCCTGTATGGAGAGCTATAGTCAAAACAGCAACCCCATTAGAAAGCTCGTTGAGCATAATCACTCTTCCCAGTGAGATTATAAGTAATTGTAAACTTTCTCTTGATTATGGAAAATTTTTAATGAGTGAATGCAGTGTTGGACTCACCAGCAGTCAGTTCATGCCCCGTTGGCAAAGTGTGTATCAACAAAGTAATTAGGAAACAGGCAAAAAGGGATGTTACAGATGAGTAGTGAACCTGAATGCAACTCTAAATTCCTATTTCTTATCAAAATTAGTTCTAAGAGTAGTTGAGAAAGTTATTCAAAGATTAAAAACTAGAAATTAAATTCTTGAGGTACTTTGCGTTCTACCTTCAAGAGGTAGGAATAATTTCTTATGGAGAAGAGCTTTTCCTTCCTGTGATTTTCTTTTGAATAAATGCATGATGATGTTCCAAATAAAATGTTGGGGTTTGCAGAAATTGAATGTTTGGGCTGAAATGAAATCATGGCATTAACACTGTAAAGAGTACTGAATGGTTTCTGTTAACATTTCTGCCCAGATTCTGGAAGTTGAGTTTGGAAGAAAAGGAGTAGAAATCAGAAATGGAAACATAGGGAAATGCAATACATTGGAATGTTTATGAAAAGACATTCATTTGAAGTGTTACTTAGGAAATAAATGCCCCATATTTTTCAAGGGAAAGTGAAATACGTTGTGAATGTGCAAAAGGCTTTTGGAGTTGCATGTAGTAAAAGTGTTTTAAAATTTCTTGGAATAGATGTAGATTAGGAGACCATTGAAGAGGAGTTGTCTGAAGACAGATGTGAGACAGAAAGAGGAAAGGGGAGGTAGCAGTGATGTACGTGAAGTACATACGCAGTTTTTTTTCAGGGGACTTTCTCCACGAAGCTGTAGCAGAGGTGCTTCCTGTTCTTGAATCTACAAAGTAACTGCTCTGAATTTTTTGTATATTTATACATACAGTGACAAAAAAGACGGATTCATACTCTTCTTATGCTCTGAAATTCAATATGCAAGCCGTAACAGAAAAGGTATTTGAAATTTGTTTTCTATTTCTTCTTTCATTGCCTAGTAATCTGCAGCTATGGCCACTCGGAAGATTTTGAGGAAGAAGTTTGTTTAAATATGAGAAAAATCTTTGGTCTCCCTTTAAGATCTAACTAACCTCTGTCAACACCTGAAGATACCTACTTTTGTTAGAGATAATGGTGCTGAATGTATTGTAAGAAATGTATGAAAGTGTATCTGGTTGTCGTCTTCTGTTTTCTTTCAATTTTTCAGGCAGAAAGTTGAAGTACGAATGGACAATTATGTACTGTTCTTGGTGTCTGTTTTAATTCTCAGTTGTGCAGCTGATAAAGAGGAGGTATCAGGTGTGATTGCAGTGTTGTTAATTTATAAGATATAAAGCTGGTTTTCGATGTCTTTCTAGCTTGAAAACTTCAGCTTGAAATCCATGCTCTGCAGGGTAAAACTGTGTTTGTAAGTGTGATGGCATCTGAGACAGATTTTGCTGATACCAGATGAAGATGTAGAAAGCAGGAAGCTGGTGCAGAGCCATGCTTGCTGGCTTTAGTTTTCAAAGACAATTTTATGTGGGATTGAAGAATTTTATACTGGTAAACTGAATCTGGTGCATGTAACAACCTGAAAGCTTCTCTGTACTCCAGAGGACTTGCCAATATTACTAGCAGAATTGGAGAGGTAAATTTATCTTAAGCAAGAAGTGTAGTATAGTTGTTTTTGAAATTCTGATGTGTAGCTCGTGTTTTGAACCAGTGAAACAGGGCAGGGATTTGTGTAACTGTACTGCTGCCACAGGTCAGAAAAGCACTCTGGATTTCTAGTAATGAAAGCAGAATACAATCTTTAAGTAGTGCACATTAGTTGTAGGATGTCAAAGATGCTCATGCTGAATTATAGGTACACGGTGCGGATCCTTATCTGTTGCTTGTCATTTTAATTTTCTTTTCTGTGTGGTTTATTTGCTTTTATCACAACCAGTTGCAGGGAGACTGTGAGGGATTTCTTTCTGAGACCCTTGTGCTTGTTACACACCCCTACCTGTCTCTGTTCATGCTTTCATACAACTTTTCATAAAACTTAAAAAGGTCCTGTGCACATGCAGGGGCCCTTTGCAGCTGAAGTTTGATTCCTGGGAAGGAAAACAGAATATTTCCCATGTCTGAGAACACTTTGGTTCCTGAAGTGTTTTCTGCTTCCCCAGCTGCTGCTTGGTACCTGGCAGGGCAGAGCTGACCAACTCCTGTTGTCCTTCCCTGCTGCTTTGCCACAGCCTTTTGCAGTCTCTGGCACCTCTGTGACTTCCTGCCTTTGCTCTGGGCTTTGTTGGTTCTTAGGGCCTTCACTGCTCTCCTCAGCAGTCTGAATACTTTCAATGAAGTGATGGCGGGGTCAGCTCTGCCTTGGTAGCCACTTGTCATGGGTTCAGTCCCCACAGGCCATCCACTTAGGAGCTGGACTTGATCCTTGAGGGTCCTGTCCAATTCAGAATATTCCATGATTCTGGGAAAGTTGTGGCATTAGCAGAGGCACTGAGGTTATATGCAGAATAGGGAAATTATTTCTGTCTGTACCTGAAGTGAATTGTTATGCTGGGGTACTCCTGATTTGGTTGTTTAGGGGATTTTTTAATGTTTTTTGGTTTTTTTTTAACACACTTGGCAGGAATTTGCAACTCGATTAATGAGCTTTCTTTTGTTGTTTTTGGAAATCTTACTAGAATACTGCTACATATTTGTTTCCAAGAATTGTTTTAGATCATGGGATCCTAACTGAATGAGAGTCAGGAGAACTAGCTTCTTATTCCAAGTTTTAGGTATGGCCATTAAACTTGTTATACTGTCGTGAAATGCAAGAGAATATAATCACAAGTGAAAATGTTGTCTCTGAGGTTTTGTTTCTGTCAACAGTAATCAAGATTTCGTGAGGAGAAATGTAACATCACAGGCTGTTATTATTTGTTATTGCTGTTGTTATTACTCTTACAATGGTGAAAGCAAAACTAGTAAAACAAAATCTTTTCTCCTCTTCC